AACACAGACAGAAATAGAAAAGGGACAAAAGCTACAAAATAGAAGATGTATACACTCAAACAGGGACAAATGCCACAAGAAACAACACAAGAAACACAATTAACACATCAGACAGCACCACAAATGCTGAGAGGCTAGAGTCTGGGGTTCTCCCCACACTGTAAGACAAAGACAAAAACATAATGGAAGATACCAGATAGTTTAGAGTATTATTTTTCAGAAGAGTTAAAAGCCAAGTAGAGGACTCCAACAAACAGACAACAAATTTAATTCAAGACATTAAAAAAAGAAACATGTGAAATCAGTTTACAACATACAAGAAAATGACCAAAGTTGGCAAGAGGATCAGTTAGCTGGAGGAAAACAATTAAAAAATATGGAGGAAAAACTTTAGCAGTGAATCAGAAACACTGAAAGCAACAACAACAAATATAAATTCTGGAAATGAAAGAATCAGTTAATCAAACAAATAACTCAAGAGAACTTACCATCAGCAGATAAAACCTAGCAAAAGAATGAATATTAAGGATGAAGGTCAAGGCCTAGACAATAATATGTATAGACACAGATCAAGGGAAAAAAACAAGTACAATCAAATCCTTCAAGAAGCCTGAGGTATACTGAAAGCAAAATCTAAGAATCAATGGTATAGAAGAAGAGTTGAGAAACACACTAGTGACTCAGAAAGTTTGTCACTGATGTAGGCGAGAATTTATCAGAGAGAAAAACAACATTCCAACATAGAATGTATTTAGAACTCCAAATAGACACAATCAGAGTGAACCTCCCCACAATACATCAAAATGTTCAAAGAGAAAAAAGTTAAAAGAAAACAAGCAACACTAAAATCAGAACCATCAGAATAGCATCAAATCTGTTTTCAGCAACACTAAAAGTCAAGAAACCATGGAAAGATTTTGTGAACCCGCAAATTTATCTGTTACAATATATGACTGGGTTTAAATCATAGATATTACCAGTACACGTCACACAAGTAATTTATCTATACATGTCTATAGATATATGTTACAGATTACAAACGGTTAAAGAGGGACACAGTCTAGTTCAAGGAGTGTCAGGCACTGGAGAAATGGTTAAGAATGCCTGCTGCTCAATCTTCAGGCACAGAATTTGGATCCCAGTAACAAGCCAGAGGCCTCAGCCATGCCTGAAACTTCAGCTCCTGTATCCCAGCTGACCAGTGGGGAGGTGGGATTTGTTTTGGGGTGCTGGCTGAAAGTCTTGAGTCCAATGTCACCAGAAAGACAGGCTCATAGCAGACCTGTCAAGTCAGTACCTCACCCTAGGCCCTATCATAGTGGAGGCCACCTTCCTTTAGGCAAATAAATAAATAAATAAATAAATAAATAAATAAATAAATAAAATAAAATAAAATAAAATAAAATAAAATAAAATAAAATAAAATTCTGGCTTCTCTTCATGTATCATGCAGGAAAATCTCAGATAACGTGGATGAGGTCTCACAATTAGAGTCACAAAAAACAGAGCCTAACTACCAACTTCCAGAACTTTCTTTGATCTTTATACTGTGACACTTGTCTGATTACAACTCCAAAGATGTCCTGTGAATGTATTAAAAGTCTTTTGAGTTTTAGCAATATGACTCTAGTTTTAAGGACAGAGGCAGGAAAATTGCTGAGGCTTGCTGGCTTCCAGATAAAATAAAATGTAAACAACAACGTTAAGGCAACTCATGACAAATCAACAGTATAGAAAATTATCAAAAAATTGCTATAGACAGAGGAAGAAGAAAGATAGTCTTATACACAAGAATTTGGAAGAGTCTCTGAAAGCAATAGAAGAGTGGAGGATAATGGAGAAGGAGCTAGTCATATTCGACATAGCAAACCAGCAAACACCCAGCACTACCAGGAAAAAAATGTTATAACTAACAATTAACCTCCAACCAGAACAACCGAAATAAAATCACAGACAATAGCAAACCCTCCTCATTCATAATAGTGAAAGGAAGTGGCTTTACCTCACCAATTTAAAGACATGCACTAATGGACTGGATTTTTAAAAACATTGACCCAGTTATGTGCTGACTTCAAGAAATATACATATCTAGGAATTACATCAATAAACTGAGAGTCAAAGGTCAGCAATTTACCAAGAAACATGAAGCCATAAAAAAGCTGGCATAGCAATGGTCATTTCTGATAATGTAGATTTTAAATCATTTCTAATCAGAAGTGATAAAGAAGGCAGCTAAGTATTAAGGAACAATTCATTAAAATACTAGCTATTGTAAATATTTATCTACCAACTCTTGCTCTCAGTTTCATAGAAGAGCCTTTAAGGCATAACTGACCACATATGCCTAGACTCAATAATAATGGGGGATTTCAATAGTCTATATATCTATAGGTCAAAATCAGAAAGGAACCTCAGAGCTAGATTAATGAAGATTAGACAGAAAAACGCTGTCTATTTTTATCTGCCTATGATGTGGTCTCATAGTTAAAAGACTCCATGGCATTCACCTTTTAAAAAAAGTTACTGGGTATAACAAATACTTTCAGTAAATATCAGGATACAAAGCCAACCTATAAAACCCAGTAGCTTCATATTCATCAACATTGAAAAGAAACTGCAAATAAACAAACAAACAAAAAATCCCATTAATAATGGTCTCAAAAATATCTAGGACCAAATCTTATCAAGAAGGTGAAAGACTGAATAAGGGGAACTTTAAGACCTGAATGAAATAAGTTGAGGAAGACATTGATAATACAAACACCTTCTGTGTTCCTTCATTGAGAAAATTAATGTAAAAATGGTATACCATCAAGCACAATCTACAGGTTCGTGTGATACTGATGAAAATACCAATGTCATCTCTCACAGAACTAAAAAACAGTACTAATGTTTGTATAGAAGCACACACACAAAATCTATGAGCAACCAAAACAATTTTAAACACAAAGAACATAGCTAGAGAGAGATATCACAGTACCTGACCTGCAACTATATTACAGAGCCACAGTGATAAAGACAGCATACACCAGGCAAATCTAACATTAGCCCAGAGATAAACCCACAAAGCTATGCATACCTAATTTTAACAAGGAGGAAAAAAATACTCTAAAAACAACACACACACACACACACACAAATAGTCTTCAGCAAAGGGTACTGGCAAAATTGAATATACACCTTCAGAAGAGTAAAAATAGATCCATATCTCTCACACTGCATACAAGTCAACTCCAATTGGATTGGAGACCTTAATTTCAAACTGGAAGTCCATCTGGGGGGAGTTTGAAGGGCACTGTATACCTAGATTTTTTTTTTCCCAAAGAATTAATGAATTTATTTTTTCAAAGAAAGAAACCTGAAAACACTGAAATTGTAAGGGGAAACATTTCAGGACATACATATATGCAACACATTTGAATGCCAGTAGCAAAGGAAACAGTACAAGAGTTGACAAATGGGTGATAAAACTAAAGAACTTTTACACCTCAAGAAACTATCAGCAGAAGGGACAGATCACAGAATGGGGAGAAGCCTTTGACAGCTATACTTCAGACAAGGACTTAACATCTCATAAAAACTAAAAAACAAACAAAAACATTAAATATCAGGAAAAATGCAAATATCAATAAATGAACCAATAATACAAACAGAAAGATCTCAAAAGAAGACATACAAATGGCTAGTAAGTATTTAAAGGTGTCCAGTATCTATCCAACAGAAAAATGCAAGTTAGAGCTAATGGGACATTCCACTCAGAATGGTTATCATCAGCAAGAGACAGAAGACAACAAATGCAGATAGACCATGGAAAGTCGAACCTCATTTCCCTGTTTCTAGGAGTGTAATCCAGTACAGTCATCATGGAAATCAACGTGGAGGATTCTCAAAGAACTGGAAACGCAGCTACCACGTGACCCTGCTACACTGCAACTGGGGATATCTTTTAAGGACTCCACATCCTATCTAGACACTGCATTTGCGCACCCACAGATATTAAAGCTCAGTTCATGACAATAGGAAATGGAGCCGGCCTACATGCGCAATTACAGATGAACAGATGACGAAACGAAAGAAAATAAAAGTATGGAATTTCCTGGAGCATGGCTGCAACTAGCAAACATTATGTCAGGTGGGTTAATCCCTCCCAAGAAAGAAAAATACCTCATGTTCTATCTCATGCACAGATTCTACTCTCTAGCTGTTAATATGCATATCTGGGTAAAGGCCAGGGTACTAGATAGTGGCTGTATGACTGTGAATGAAGAGAATTTTGAAGAGGGAGATGTGGGCAAGAAAATATTATAATTTCTAAAGGCAGAAAGTTACAGTGGGAGAAGAAGGTCAGGGAGATTAGTGGAGAACTTAGCAGGAGAGAACCAACCCAAATGAGCTATGTATGAAACCTGTGCAGAAACCTCTTTGTAAGAGATATTGAAAAACAATGAAATTGTGAAAAATAACTAAAATGTTGAAGCTAGAACTTCATTGCAATATAGCAATCCTATAATTTTACGTACCAGTGAACATAAATTAGTGACTTGAAGAGATGCCTGCATTCATTTCTCCAGGGAATGATAGACCACACGTGGCCTCTTAGTCTTCTTGTTAATCAGCCATGCTCCCCTCCATGGAGCATTTCTTCACTTCCAAACTAAAGCCATTTTTATTGATTTGTTTTTAACCCATTTAATAAATTTCTAGTTCACATTATACAGTGGAAAAAAGAATGTGACAGATACCCTTTAAGTTACTGAGTAGCCATTACTTAAAGAGAAATTTTTCTTTGTATATATCCAATATTTATATCTGAAGGCTAGTAGATGTTCCATACCTCTATTAATAGTCTCTTATCTTATAAATGTTTTGAAGAAAGAGCTGCAGGAGGTAAAGGCATCTACAGAGCTCCAGGATGCTGACACATTACCCCCCATTTTCTAATACTGTCTCTCTGTCAAGCAATCTCTTACAGCTAATATGCCAGGAGGTTCTGAACTCACAGAGGTTTGGATGGCCACCATGATAAAGAGGGAGAGGACAGTGAGGTAGATCTGGAGTCTCCTCCCACCAAATCGCTTCCTGAGATACTCTGGCATGGTCATCACCTGCAGAGAGAGACAGCAACAGGGATTCACCTCTGCGCCGACATCTGCTAAACACCCATGGATAGGTAAGTTTTATGCATCACATCCTGGGGATAACCAGCTGAGAAAGGTATGCTTCCCACGGTAGGGCTACAGACTGGAATGATCATGGACACTTGAGGCAGACCATTTTAGGATTTCTTCCTAACAGTTACTAGATGCTGTGACCTTTGACAAATAGTTTTGAATTTCTTTTTATTGTCTGACAAGTGATCCAGTTTTCTTTCTTCCCTCCCTCCTTTCCTACTTTAAGACACTCTAACAATGTAGTCTAGGATGATCTTGAACTCACGATCTTCTGGCTTTTAATTCTTGAATCCTGGGGATATAAGTATATGTTACCGTGCTCAGCTCTAGGCTGGGTTTGTTGTCAGTGTAGATATTAAGTACCTACAACTACAATTGACTTATAGGCATAAATTTATATTATTCTCACTAATAGTGTTAGAAATTTAAAGAGCAACATCACTTGTGAGTAAGGGACCACAATCATGTGTTGTGCTGGCTAGTCCTATGTTAACTGGACACAATTAGAGTAATTTGGGAAAAGGGATAGCCTCAACCAAGAAGATACTCTCAACAGGTTGGCCTGTAGACAAGCCTGGGTACCGTTTTTTAATTAATTATTGATGTGTGAACCCACCCCACCAAGGGCAGTGCCATTTCTGGAATCATGCTCCTGTATCATATAAGAAAAACCATGGTGAGCAAGCAAGTACAGAGCATTCCTCCATGGCCTTTGCCTCAGTTTCTGCCTTCGGGTTCCTGCCCTGCCTTCCTTCAATGATGGACAGTGATGTGGAAACGGAAGTGGAAGTGAAATAAACCTCTTTCTCTCCATGTTGTTTATGGTCATGGTGTTTTATCACAGCAAGAGAAATTCTAACTAATCCACACAGTGAAGAGTTTTCCAAGAGTCTCCAATAAGACTTTGGATTTGGACTGATGAGCTGCTTCTAAAATGACTTCAGACTTTGGAACCGTTGTCATAGATTGAGTATGTTTTATATTATGAGGAAGAAATGCTCTTTGGAGACCAGGGACAGAATTCTGTGACTTGGATGATTTGTCTTTCAAAGGTTTCATGAGGTTCAAATTTGGTGTTTGATATAATGGTGTTGGGATTGAGCAATCTGTACAAAGTAGGGCTTAGTAGGAAGACAGTTAGGAAATGGGATGAATGGTTATTCTCACAGAGTAAGACTGGTGGCTATAAACACACTCCTCCAGGCAATCATTTTATATTTCACTTTTTCACCATATTTTGATGCAGCCATGGCCAAAGTGTTCTGGGTATCACGTGGCCTGACATCTATGTCTGTGAGACAAATAAGCTTATTGTTTTTATAAAGTACTTTGCTTCTGGCCTTCTGATAGATGTACAAAATTAGTTAAAACATACTCCAAAAGGCACCAAGTACCAATTTCCAAAGTGGATCATTTCTCCCCGTTTACCCATCACTTAGATCCTCTCTGTAACTTCAAGCTCCACTAAGAGAGGTCTCACACCTCCAGAACATGAAGCTTCAAGTCTTCAAGTTGTCATAACACTTCTCTTTACCCCTTTAGTTTTTATCTGTCATTAAGCAAATTGTTTTTATGCCGGGAAAATCTGCCATTTTTTCTTCTTACTATAAAACCATGATTTATAATGTCTTCTTAACAATGTCTATCATAGGCCCATTGCCCAGGTTCATTCTCCTCTCAACTGATAGAGTAGAGCTTCCTAAAACATTAAGTATGGTCATGAGCCTTGACTTTCTGGAAGCCTGTGCTGCTGCTCATTTCTCAGGAGGTGAGGAGGACACCTGTCTACCTCAATTGAACCCTTCCTCTCCCACACATACATGCAAACCCACTTATATGTCCTACACACTTCCTGCATATACTCTCTATTTTTTAACTGACCTTCAACTAATGCAAGATCTCTCATGATGTTTAACTTCTATGTTTTCTTAGCACTCCTGGGTCTGACTTTATTTTGCCTACAAAGGTGATGCTCCTCAGAATAATCCAGCTCATTTCCAATTCCTTCTCTTAAAGTACTTGGGTGGTCCTAGATTCAGGTTCCTGCACCAGGTAAAAGCAACCACAGTGGCCATTACATAAGGCCGTGGAGATATTTCTCACCCATCTGTGGCCACGTTTTGCACTGAGCCCTTCCAGGGAAAGAATGGCAATTTTGTCACCTGTTTATTTTGTAGCAGCAGACCATGAGAAGGTTGAGTATCAAGTTTCAATACAAAGATGTAAGTGAACAAAAGCATGTAGAGATTCCTTCTGGAAGGCTCATTTGTAGGTGTGTGAATACTCACCCCTGCCTTGATGTAGATGGGGACAAACACCCACCCAAGAACTAGCACCATGAGCAGGGCCTGTGAGAAACCAAGGGGAGACTGTAAAGTTCAAGAGGCATTGCTTGTGAGACAGAAGCCATTGAGTAGAGAAACAGCAAAAACAAAGAAATAAACACAACAACAACAAAACCCAATTTGTTAAATCTTGTCCCACTTCAACTGTTAAGATATTTGAACAACCGTCACTTCCTTTCCTCTGTGCTTATGACTGAGAAGCCAACACTTTCTGAGACATAGGATGTGACTCAAGACATGAAGTAAAACATGATTAGATAACATGGCAGAGTGGGACAAATACTTGGGCCTCTGGAAAAGCACAAAACTTTTTATCACAAAGTATTGCGCTTGGATGGCAGGTGGTAAGCATGATATTCTCAAATAGATAAAGAAATCAGAAGGAAATTTCAAGCTATTTTAAGATTTTGATGCTGATCACAGCTCCCCAGGGAAAACATTAGCAAAATCATAACTGCTCATTAACACGTGGTGTTTGCATGTTCTTGTCAGCAGTAACCATGTTCCTTCAACAACCAAGTGAGGCAACTACTTTAAGCAATTTTCCTTGTCTTATAGAGGTGGAAACCACACCTCATAGAGATTAGACAAACACAATGTCACAGGCTTAATGAGGAGAGATGAGTTATTTACAGCCTGAGAGTTGCACCCAAGAAGCCCATCTGAACATGAGTTTAAAGGTAAAGTTTATGGCACTATCAGACTCAAACTCTGGGTAAAGGACATATCTAGAAGATGGGTGTATCCTGGAGGCTCTCGCCCTACTAACGTATAATTAGGAGAAATATGTAACAAGGGAAGAGCAAAAGTATTTGTGATGATTCTCAGTCATTCCTAGGTCCACTCAGGGATGCTGTCTAAACATTGACCATGATCGATCTGACTTCTACACTAGTGTCTTCCTCTTCCCAGTATGCACACATTGCATGAAAAGATAAGATCAAGTTTCTGAAGCAAGCTCCAAGTCCTCTCCATTATCTGTGAAGGATGTGATCCCAAAGGATCCCACAGTGCACTATGCATGTTTTTCTTTAGGTGTTTTCTACATTATGAGGTTCATTTGGAAGCTTCTTAGATGGAATAACCGTTGCTTTAGTATTTTATATAATTGGTTTCTAGAAATATAGGGTCCAGGAAGGAAAGATACAACTGATCAATGGGGAAATGATAATGGATATTGAGTCATAGACACAATGTTTTCTGGCAGGGGCAACTTCAGAAGAATGGTCATAGGGTCAGTAATGATGTGGTCAATGTTCCAGAGATGCTTAAGGACAAAAAAGTGGGCCAACATAAAGAAAAGTACAAAGAAAATCAAGGAGGAGGACATTCTATATAGGCTTTTTGGAATAACTAGAATTTAAGTTTGATTGAAATAACCTCAAATGGGCTCGCCTGAAAGGAAAAGACTTTGACAGCACTTACATTCCATTCCACTGCTGCAGTAGCGATTCCTGAAGCCGCTCCTGTTCCAGCCAAGCCCACAAAGTGGTTGCTGCCAATGTTACTGGCAAAGAGAGAGGCGCCCATCTGAAATGCAAGAGAAGAGAATGTGGCTGGAGTTAAAAGATGCAAAGTAGAGTTATTGGCAACAGAGATGATGTTGTATATAAATCATTTCTTAGAACAGAATTTCATCAACTGCAGCTCACGTTCTGAAAGTGAATGTGAAGTTTTTGTATGGTGTAATTTTTGTTCATTTTAATGAACAAAAGAAAAAATATCTCAAGTACAAGAAAATCAAAAGATTACACAGGGTGTGTCACTGAAAAAATACCCTCCAATGGATTTCTTTAAAAAGTGCCTCACAGGAGCTGGAGAGATGGCTTGGTGGCTCAGTGCACTGACTGCTCTTCCAGAGGACCCGAGTTCAATTCCCAGTATCCACATGGCAGCTCACAACTGTCTGTAACTCCTGTTGCAGGGAATCTGACACCCTCACATAGACACACAAGCAGTCAAACACTGAGAGATTAAAAATTAGCAGCTATTATTAATTAAGGCCTGAACTAGGTGGGTGGAGAAGTCCAGTAATGCCCTGAGGGGAAGGACCGCCTTACTGCATTCTTTCCCCACCCACTAGAGATAACAGTTGCTAGGAAACTGGCCTATCCCCCTAGGGAGGGTCACCAGGTCATTATGGTCTGGGGACCTTGCTATAGCCAATCAATTAAAAATGTAGCATTTTGACCAATAGATGCTTGCCAGGCAGGAATTGGGCGTGCTGGGATGGACCAGAATCTTTAAATCACCCAACTAACCTGAGCACAGGGTGCTCGGCTCCCACCACTTTGGCAGTGGGGGGGGGTGTGTGGCCCCAAGCTGCAGCTTGTAATTTACAATAAAAAGAACCTCATGTATTTACAGTGGAGTCTGTTTATTCATGGTCTTTTGGGGTTTGTGAACTGGGCAGAACAATACCAATAAGATAAAACTAAATAAATTTTAAAAGTGCCTTACAGCAGTAGTTCTCAACCTTTCAAATCTGTGACTCTTTTTTTTTTTTTAATGTATATACGAGACCTCATTATAGATGGCTATGAGCCTCCATGTGGTTGCTGGGGATTGAACTCAGAACCTTTAGGAAGAGCAATCAGTGCTCTTAACCTCTGAGCCATCTCTCCAGCCCCAATCTGTGAGTCTTTAACACAGTTTTTTGTGTTGCGGTGGTCCACACTCATAAAATTATTTTGTTGCTACTTCATGACTATAATTTTGCTACTGTTATGAATCATAATGTAAAGATATGATATGCAACACCCAAATGGTGTCTTGACCTACAGGGTAAGAACTACTTCCTTACAGGGACTGGAGAGATGGCTCAGTGAATAAAGTGTTTTTGGTTAAAAATGAAGACCATATTTCAGAGTTTAGACCCAAATAAATCCAGGCAGTTGTGTCAGCTGCCTGTAATCCTAGAACTCCAGAGATAGAGAGCAGGCTCTCTGGGTTAAGATGTCTAGCTAGAATGGGTGAGCTCCATGCTCAGAGGGAGATTATGGTTCAATCAATGAAATAGAGAGCAACCCAGGTAGATACTCAATGTCATCTTCAACTTGTTTTGTAGACCAGCTGTCCTCAAACTCACAAGCATCTGCCCTCCTTTGCCTCCCAAGTGCTGGGATTAAAGGCATGTGACAGCACAACCAGGCTTATTTATTTCTTTTAATTTTTCAGGAATCCACTGTTGAGAAGCTTTGAATATTTTAGAAAGACTATGAATTTTGAAAAAGACTTTTGATGTTTTAATGCACCAGGGCTTTTAAAGGGTTTGAATTTTTAAAAAATCGTTGGGAATTTTACCGGTACTTATATTTTATATTGTGATGTTATATTAATATGAGATCTTGAACGATAAGAAAGGAAAGGTTGTTGGTTAATAGTAATGTACTAGTTTGTCAAGTAATTCCTTTTTTTTTTTTTTTTTTCAAGATAGACACAAGATAGAGTTATTAGGAAAAAGAAACCTGAATTGAAAAAAGTCATCATATTGCCTTTAAACAACTCTGTGGGGTATTTTCTTGATTAATGATTGATACAGGAGGCTGGAGCTCACCTCTGGGAAGGTAGTCTTGAATAGTATAAGAAAGCAGGCTCAGCAAGCCAGTACCTACATATCTTCAGTTCCTGCCTCCAGACTTCTAGCTTGGCTTCCCCCAGTTGAGTGTGTTGCAGGATATTTGATCACACTGTGAATCTCAAGATAGTGTTGTTATCGGGAGCCTGTTTCTCGTGATGTGGCTCAGCCCTAGCACACACCTTTAACTCAGAAGCTTTGTACTTGAATTAAATAAAATCAGCCCTAAGACAAGAGGTGGAGCAGGCAACCAGCCAATAGGGAGTGAACAAAGGGAAAAACCATAGAGAGTAAGAGGAATTCAGGAGGGTAGAAAGAGAAATGCACAGGAAGTAGAAAAAAGGAACATTCAGCTTAAGGGGTTTTTGAGATGGCACAAAGAAGGAGCCTTTTTATTTTTTACATTGGCTGAGTAGGAAGATCATCTGGGTGCTTTCTCTACCTCTCTGAGCAGGCAGGTGGCTTTCATCCCAGCATCTGACTCCCAAGCTGTTATTGAGAAAATTGAACAACTGAGATTTTGTTAAAAACATATTTGGTGCTCCAGTGCATGGCATGACCACAAAGAGAGAGAAATCATGCCAGCTGTGGAGAAACTGAGAAGCCATCAGATTTGGTAAGTCACCTGGGAAATCCTCGAGGAGAGAAATAAGGATGGGAAATACCATAATACAAGGCATTAGAAATCTGTATAGTGTTACTTTAGATGCCTTAAAAATAGACTCAGAAAATGAAAAGCTGCATGACTTAACTGGAATTTGCTCAATACTGGTTATGATAATTATGATTTTGGTATTTCATATTTTATTCTTAATATTCATAGTGGATTTCTGTGTCCTCTCAAATAAAAAAAAGCTTTAGAGATACAGGAAAGAAAAAAAATATGAAAAGTAGATTGATAAGATATAAGCCTTAGAAGAAAAATTACAGACACTTATAAACAAAAATGAGAAAAATACTCAGACACAGGTGGAGTATTTGGACAAGAACCTATTATCACTGCATGATGAAACTGAAGAGAGGTGGCCTAAGGTTGTTAGAAAACTAACCTTAGTTCATCCAGTAACTACACAAGACCTACCTGTAGATGATAGGTACCCCCAAGATTATGAAGAAGTTAATGGAATCCTATAGACATGTGTTGAGGACATTTAAGGAAGCAATCATTTCATATGGTGTGCATTCACTCTATATGAAGCAGATATTAAAGGCAACTCAGAACGGAATTATCCTCCCAGACTGGCAAAATTTGGCAACATCAAAACTGGAAGCTGGTCCTCAATAACAATGATGAACATGGTGGAAAGAGGAAGTTAGAGCAGTAGCACAACAAAATAGGGCTAGAGGTATTAATATTCCCTGGGGGATCAGTTGCTGGGTGAAGGTCAATATGCTGAGTTACAAAGCCAGCTTGAATTTGATAATCACAGCTTGGTGCTATGTCATTTAACAGCTTTAAATGGTTGGAACAAGATTGAAGAATCAAGAAAGAGGTCTGAGTAATTAGTAAAAATTATACAGGGCCAGAAAGAAGTCTTCACTAATTTTTTACAAATGTTGACTTCAGCTGTAAATAGAATAGTGTCAGATTCATCAGTCAGAAAACATATTTATAAAAATTTTGGCTTTTGATATGCTAATTCAGAATGCATACCCTTAAAGGCAAAATGAACACCAATAGATGAATGGATTAGAAAAACAGCTGATATTGGATCTCATTATGTTAGTCTGAAATAATTTCTGAAAGTTTTAAGAAAAATCAAAATGTCAAATGTATCAATTGTGATAAGCAAGGGTATTTAAAATTGGATTATAGACAATGTGTTTCTGGAAATAATGTTTTTTTTCTAGCAATAACTCGAAAATAAGCCCAGCCTTCTGGAGAATGCAGAAGTTGCTGCAAAGAGCAGCACTGGACTACTGCATGCAGATCAGCAAGGGACATGCAAATTAACCCTTTGCCATTGGGAAATGCTCCAGGGGGCCTCCCTGAAGGCCCTATTACCAAACTTGATTCAATCCTTCCCTTTCATTGTTTGGAGAAACTCATCTACAAAATCATTAAAAGATATAATGACTCTTGATGAAAGCAGCACTGCTCTGGGCGTAACCAAGGACAGAACAGTTTTCAGTAGATAAACCAAAAAATTCAGGAAAGACCAGAAAACAAGTATTTTGGCAAACTTCTATAAATGATGAGACCAAGGCTAAAATACAAGTAAATGGCATGGAAATCGAAGGTTGAGTAGATGCAGAAACAGATGTAGCAATAATTTTATTAAAATCTTGGTATCCAGATTGGCCTCTTGGGAAGGTAAATATCTAGCTTTTGGGGATGGGAACTTTATCTCAGCTAAAGCAAAATGAAAGATGGGTCAACTGCATAGAGCCAGATGAATAAATAGGAAAATTAATGTCATGTGGTTAGTATGGTCATGAATTTATGGGGACCTTGTTAGAATATATTTTAAAATGCCAACAGATCTGAAAGAGACAGAAACATACACACACACACACACACACACACACACAGAAAGAGAGAGAGAGAGAGACTGTGGGAGAACATAAGAGAAGAGAAAGAGGAGCATCATGGGGGCAGGAGAGAAACCAAATCAGAGAGGGTTTAAGAGAGAGAGACAAGAGTGGCAGGTTGATCCTTTTATATCAGGTGCACAGCTGAAATGTGTCAGTCACACACTTGATGACATCATAGATTACTAGGCAACCTAGAAGCAGGCTGTCTTTACACTAACAGACATGATTTGTTGTAGCAATGGAAGACACAGGTTAACATTCCTCCAATCTCAGAAACAAATCATAAAATAAAGGGTGCTTCTGAGAAAAATATTAAAAGGTATTATCAAGAACAGTCACAGATTGTACAGATTGCACATAAGCAGGACACAACAGCTGTTCATCTTTCAAATGTACCAACAACTCTACCTTTAGAATA